ATCTATCTATCTATCTATCTATCTATCTATCTATCTATCTATCTATCTATCATATCTACCTGTCTGTCTATCTATATATGTATCTATCTATCTATGTATGTATGTATCTATGTATGTATGTATGTATGTATGTATGTATCTATCTATCTATCTATCTATCTATCTATCTATTTATCTATCATCTATTGAGACAGGGTCTCACTATGTATCTCTGAGTGGCCTGGAACTCCCTCTGTAGACCAGGCTCAAACTCACAAAGATCTCGTTGCCCCTGTCTTCAGAATGCTGCAATTAAAAGCATGTACCACCACACCTAGCTACTTTAATTTTACTAATTATAGTGTACGTCACACGTCACACTAAGGCAGGAGCATTTGGCAGTTTTCAAGTCACCTAACCATAGGTCAAGTTGGCTAAGGGGCTAGCCTTGAATATGGGGGGGGGTGTCTTCACTGGAGTATCTGGGAATATCTGGAGTGCTGGGAGTATCTGGGAATGGCTGTTGACCCAGGTGATGCTGTGTTGACTGTGGTTCTGTGTGTCCGCAGCGTGTTGGGACAGCAGTCGAGTGACAGCCAGGAGAGGGCAGATAGCTAGCTTTGTTTGTAGAGGGACACTGAGTCTCCCACCCTTGGGTGTGTGTGGTGGGGCAGGTGGGGTGCTCTCATGGGCTGGACTTGGTAGATCCTCATAGGCTGCTCCCCCCACTCAGGATGGCTGGAACATCCTCAACTTCCTAATTGTCTTGATCTTGTTTATGGGGTTCTTCATCAAGCAACTTAATATAATTGCCGTCACCTACCCTCTCAGGTGAGTTGGGAGCTCTGAAGGTGAGAGGTTTACCTGTCTGGAAGTTGGTGGGGGCAGGCGAGGAGGAAGGGGTCTGGGAAGGGTCGGGGGCACCTCTGAGAGACTCTACCACAGGGCACTTCGGCTGGTACATGTGTGTATGGCAGTGGAGCCCCTGGCCAAGATCATCAGGGTCATCCTGCAGTCCGTGACGGACTTGGCCAATGTTATGGCCCTCATCCTCTTCTTCATGCTGGTCAGTGTCTCCCAGGCTCCAAGCTGCCTCCTTCCCTGCACCGAACATGTAGGGCAGTGGGCAGGGACGGGTGCCCAGACAAGCAAAGGGTTTGAATACCCGGCAGCATTTATTTGCATTCATTTTCGTGACTGGTCAAGCTCAGGGCTGCTGGGTGAGATTAGGGTGGGTGTTGCTTCTCCCTGACAGGTGTTCTCCGTGTTTGGGGTCACGCTCTTTGGCGCGTTCGTGCCCAAGCATTTCCAGAATATGGGGGTTGCCCTGTACACCCTGTTCATCTGCATTACCCAGGATGGCTGGCTAGACATCTACAGTGACTTCCAGTGAGTACGGCCGGGGCCCTTGGGTTTCCTTTTGTCATGGCTAGGGCAGGACTGGAGTTCCTGAAAGTGAGGGAGGAGATGAGAGGGAGCTCCCGAGACTTCCATGAAGCTGGCCTCACAGGCAGTGAATACCCAAGGAAATCATGGGGCGGAACCTTTCACTTTGTGATACTTGAACCATGTCCCCATGGAAGCTTCACACATTCACAAGGCCACCTGACCCTGTCCTTGGAGATGTCAGCTATTCGGTACAGCTGTGTGGCTCAGCCTTTGGCCAGAGGTCTGTGGCCATGCCTGAGGTTACCAGGTGACCTCCAGCTCGCACCACGCCACAATAAACCGCGTGGACTTCTGGGAAGTTTGGGTTTCAAGCTACTCATGCTCAGACCTGCTCCCCGGGGGTCATTTTTGTGTTGTGTTCTTTGCTTCTTGTCTGTCAAGTTCAGGCCAAGTAGGGTTTCTGCAGTCACGACCCACCCAGACATGGGGAGAGGAAATCCCAGCACTCAAGAAGCAGAGACAGGTGAATCAGGAGTTCAAAGTTAATTGTTGACTAAAATTAACAAGATCCTGTTGCAAAAAAGAAAAAAAAAAAAAAAAGGAGGTGGGGGGGAGAGGCACACTGGGCACAGAGGTCAGTCAGCGGAGTGTTTGCCTAGCCCTGGTTCAATACCCACAACTGACCAAACCAAGACCGGCGGCATTCACCCTCACTGCACAGTCTGAGGCCAGCCTGGGCTACCGTGAGAACCAATCTACAAACAAAAGGAAACAAAAAGCTGGCCCAATGGCGCACACCTTAGATCCCAGCACTCAGGAAGCAGAGACAGGAGGATCTCTGTGAGAACTCAGCCAGTCTGGTCTCTACAGCCAGATTCAGGCTAACCAGAATTACACAGTAAGACCTAATCTCAAAAACAAAAGCAAAAAATATCACCAAACCAAAAAAAAAAAAAAAAACAGAAGGTGGGGTGCCAAAGTCCAGAGCGTGACTTCCTGGAGGTCCTAGCCTTTAGTCCTAGCACTGGTGAGGCCGAGGCAGAGGCCAGCCTGGTCTACACGGACTGCACAGGAAAGCTGCACTGGGCTTTTGAGTCCTGTCCCCTGAACTGGCCCTGTGACATTAGACAAACTATCCCAACGGAAGCCTCAAACTTGAAGCGATCTTCCTGCCTTGGTCTCCTAAGTGCTGAGATTACAGATGTGGGCCACCGAGACCAGCTCGTTTCCAAGTTTATTTATTTCCTTATCTATTTATCTTGCGGTTCTGGGCCTGAAGCATGCTGGGCAAGCCTTCCACCACTGAGCTATAGCTCCAACTTCTAGCTTTTAAAAAGTCGGAGGGAGCCGGATGCAGTACCTATGTCTGAAATCCCAGCACTGGGGAGGCAGATGTGGGACCAGGTCTATCTCGAAAAAACCAACCCCCCCCCCAAGAAACCTGACAAAACAAACCCCTCCAACTTTCCTTTTTTATTTATTTATTTTTAGCTTTTAGTTTGTTTGTTTATGTATTTGTTTGTTTTATAAGGCAGGGTTTCTCTGTGTAGTCTTGGCTGTCCTGAACTCATTTTGTAGACCAGGCTGGCCTCGAACTCACAGAGGTTTGCCTATTTCTGCCTCCTGGAGCTCTGGGTTCACAGGTGTGCGCCACCACACCCAGCTGGCTGTTTTGTTTTTAAGTGGAGTCTAGGATAGCCCAGGATAGCCTTGAACCCCCGCTCCTCTTCCTCCCACTTCCAAATGCTAAGATTACAGTCACGTGACACCACTTCTGGTTACTGCTGTGCTGGGGCTTCGTGCGTACTAAGCAAACACTGTACCAACTTGACTTTCAGTTTTGCTTCGTTTTTGAGACAGGAACTCAGCTAGCCCAGGCTAGCTTTGAACTCCTGATTTCCCACCTCTACTTCTTGAGTGCTGGGATTTACTATTGGTCTGGTCCTCTGTTTATTCATCCATAGTTAGAGACTACACTGCAATACTGATTACCTCATAGAGTGCCATGAGGATCAGTCTAGAAACTGTAGAACTCTTGTAGTCCAGAGCCCGGCACAGAGCGCTTCTGTTTATGTAAGTACAGCTGTAACATGCTCTTGACAGTGCTGACACACAAGCCTCTCCGTGGGGCTGCTTGGAGAGTTGGCCCTGACGTCTGGCAGCGCAGCAGGTCTCAGTAGACAGTAGCTGCTGAGACCACCTATGTAATCCTCTCATCTTAAAGATGAGCAAACGGAGGCTGGCTTACAGGGCCAGAGGAATGATGAAACCCCTGACTGCCATTCCCAGGATGGAGAACAGAGAGTACGCAATGGAGGTCGGGGGCGCCATCTACTTTGCCGTCTTCATCACCATTGGTGCTTTCATCGGCCTCAACTTGTTTGTCGTCGTGGTGACCACGAATCTGGAGCAAATGATGAAGACAGGAGATCAGGGACAACATCAGATAATGTTTAGTGAGGTGCGTGGGACGGGGGAGGGGAGGAGGGAGGAGAGTGTGTGCCTGAATGACCTGAGTGTGTGTGTGTGTGTGTGTGTGTGTGTGTGTGTGTGTTGCACACTCAAGTGCATGGAGAGAGCCAAGTCTGAGACCTTGAGGCAAGACCTTCACATCTGTAGTGTCCACTCAGTGGCTGAGGCTGCGGGGGTCCCATGTGCTGTGATAATTCAGAGCTGAGCAACTGGGTGGCGTTAGAGCATTTACCCAGCTGCATTCTGAAGTCCTTCTCTGTGGTGGGAATAAGCATCCCTTGCCAGGACTCTGATGAGAATCATGAAGGTTCTGATTACCGCTCAAAGGAAGAGCTCAAGAAATGCACTGGAGAGCTGGCTCAATGTAAGAGCATTTACTGCTCTTGCAGAGGACCTGGGTTCAGGTCCCAGCATCTACATGGGCCGTTCTCCATTGTTTATAACTCCAGTTCCAGGAGATAATGTTGGCATTAGTTTTTTAAAACTCTTTTATTTATGTTTCTTATATTTTTTTCTCCCTACTCTACCCCAATCCCTTCCAATACCCCAACACCAGGTAAGAGAGAGAAAGGGTTAGTGGAAGAGGGGGCATACCTCTTTCTTAGCTGCTTCCTGCTGGTTAGGGTCATCTGGTTCCTTGAAGCCAGTCTAGTCCTCGGTTCAGGAGCTCTCCAACTTCTTGTCTCACAACAGCAACCAGAAGCATCAAGGGAGAAGCAGGAGCAGCCTTGTTCTTTCTCCTCTCCACACTCTCTGGGCTCTGGCTCTCTCTCTAGTGGGTTCTCCGGCTCTTAGTTCCCAGGCATTCTCCCTTTACCAATGACGCTTTTGCTTTCCAAGCATTTCAACCTCTGCCCACTAATTTTCTAGTTGCATTGCCAGCTCTGCAATGAAACAAAACCAGAGAATCCCCTCTGGGAGTAAAGCGGAAATAAAGCCTTCGGCAGCAGCTGCAGTAAACCTCATCCTGAAATGGTGTATTCATCTCTCTGTACCCTACTACTGCATCACTCATTATTTTAAGCTCCTGGAGCCAGGAGATAGCCGCCTTCTGGTCTCTACTGGCATCGCGTGGACATGGTGCCCTTACTTTTGTAAACATTCATACACACAAAAGAAAAATAAAGAAATATCTGCAGGGCACGGTGATGTAAGCCTTTAATTCCTGCAGAGGCAGGTGGATCTCTTAATTTGAGGTCAGCTTCCCTCAAGGTCTACAGATGAGTTCCAGCCAGGGCTACAAAGAAACCCTGTCTTGAAAAACCAGGAGAAAAAAAAAAAAAAAAGCCATGTGCCACCCAGCACTCATGGAGGCCTAGGCAGAAGGACCTCTGTGAGTTCGAGGCCAGCCTGCTCTACAAAGTGAGTCCAGGACAGCTAAGGCTACACAGAGAAACCCTGTCTCGAAAAGCAAAACAAAACTAAACTAAACTAATAAATAAGCAAATAATAAGAACTCAAAGAATGTTAGCTACCCAGTAGTCACTTGGCAGAGCTTGCATAAGGTGGAGAGGGACGTGGAATGCTTGAGAAAGGTTAGAGGGCTGGGACCACCATCGCGACGAGCTTGCCTGCCTCCATCCCTAGCATGCACAGGTAAAATAAAACCGGCCGTTCTAATACCAAAGAAGGTTAAAGGGGGCAGTCCTAAGAGACTCCCCCTCCCAGAAGCCACAAGACCCTGAGCTGTCTGTCCCTCTCCATCCACTGTCCCCAGATAGGCGCAGATGTAGACAACTGGAGTGATGACCTGCCACTGCTGCATTGTACAGAGGCCCGCAAGGAGACTTCCGGGCCCCACCAGGAACCGCTGGTCGGGGGTCCCCTGTGGAACCTCACGGAAAAGACCTGCGATGACTTCTGCTTGGTGCTTGAGGCAATCCAGGAGAACTTGATGGAGTACAAAGCGATCCGCGAGGAGCTCAACACGTAGGGAGGGTACCGGGGAGCCAGAGCGGGGGCTAGCCTTCAGCTCGTCTTCTCAGAAACCAGGTTCAAGCTTCCCATTTCAGGAGCTGGCAGCCTGACCTCCGGGCCGCTCTCGTCTCCAGAGAGGGCCCTGCACAGCCTGGGTTTCCCTTAGGGACGCTTCAGAAGCAAGATGAAGCAGTGAGGGAGGAAGGAGGAGGGGCAGAGGGTGCCCACGGGGGCGGGGAAAGAGGTGGAAGGGCTTTGCCGACGAACGCGAGGTCTCTCTTACCCCAGGATTGTGGAGGAGGTGCGCTCCATCCGTTTCAACCAGGAGCAGGAAAAGGTGCTGTTGAACAGGCACGTCTCCAAAACCCTGTCCATCCTGAGCCAATCCACCACAGACATGCGTGAGGTAGCCACCCATCAAGATTTGATCTCCGCGCTGATCAGCAGGGAAAAGGTGCGTGTTCCCTTCCCTGCTTAATCCACCCCAGCCCACCCCACCCCCGCACCAATCCCGACAGGCAGGACAGCTAAGGTTTACTTTCTTTTCCTATTGACCCGCTAAAATGCCCTGTCAAGTCTCACTTCCTCCTCAGAGAGGCCCGCCTCCTCCCATCAGGCTCCGCCCTAGGAGCCAGTCCGTGTTGCTGTGTCCCCCCTCCCCCAACCCCACCCCCTCCAGAATCTACAACCTCCTTTCTTTTTTCTTTTTCTTTCTTTTTCTTCTTTTTCTTTCTCTTTCTTCCTTCCTTCCTTCCTTCCTTCCTTCCTTTCTTTCTTTCTTTTTTTCTTTCTTTCTTTCTTTCTTTTCCTTCCTTCCTTCTTTCTTTCTCTCTCTCCTTTTCTTCTTTCTCTCTTTTTTAAGATTTGGGGTTTTTTGTTTGCTTGTTTTAAGATTTATTTATTTATTGTATATTAGTGCTCTATGTGCATATACACCTGCATGCCAGAAGAGGGCATCAGACACCAGTATAGTTTCGAGCCACCATGTGTGGTTTGCTGGGAATTGAACTCTCAGGACCTCTGAAAAAGCAAACCTCTTCTTGAGTGGCTTCTGTAAGCTCAGCTCTTCCTTAGAAACAGATGTTTAGTCCTGCATCGGGCAAACCACCCCTGTTAACTCATCTGGGATGCATATGCACTTTTGTGTGTGTGTGTGTGTGTGTGTGTGTGTGTGTGTGTGTGTGTGTGCGCGCGCGCGCGTGCGTGCGCTCCTGCCTGTGTCTGTGCCTCCTATCTCATGGGACTGCAGTGGAATGAAGTCTTGGGGGTGTCTGAGCTCCCCAGTTCAGAGTGGGTTCTAGGCATGCTAGAGTCACCCAGATGGAGCAGCTGTTGAAGCAGGAAGAGAAGGAGGAGGAAGGAGAAGTCTGTTGAGGTAAGCAGAATGACAAAAAAGACCCTCCCATCTCGGTTTGCAGGTTTATGAGTCTAACACAAATATGGTTAGCAAACACAGGACCAGCCACTGAGAAGGCACAATGCGAGCCAGCAGCACACACACAGGGCCAGCTGCTGCATCTTCGGGCATCTCTGACTGGAGCCCATCCCTCAGCGTTACACGTGCGTTACATGGCCGGGCGGCAGAGGCCATGGGACTTGGATGGGGCAGCCTCTGAAGGGCTGGCCTGTGAGCCTGAGGCCCGGAGGGGTCAGGATGAAGGGTTCTGGACCAGAGTGGAAGCCCCACAGCGAGGATGAGCACAGAAGGGGGTAGCCAGGCATTGGCCTGAAGATGAGTGTCTCCGACCTCTGCTCCAGCCCGAGCTGGATCTGGGTGAGGCCTCGGAGGACCCGAGCACTGGAAGGAGAAGAGCCAGGCCAGGGAGGCTGTGTGCACCGAAAATAAAATTTTGTGTTGTAACCAATGTGTGTCTGACTGCTCGTTCACGACCTTCTTCGCACCTCTGCCTTTGGTCTATAGAGAAGATAGATCTTGCTTCTGGAAAGCGGTTTGCAATGGGGCGTGGTGGCTCATGCCTTATTCCCAGCACTTGGGAAGTAGAGGCAGGAGGATCAAGAATTCCGGTGCCTCCGTAGCTACATACATTGAAGGCCAGCCTGGGCTACCTGAGATACTATCTCAAACAAACCACCCTGTCTGTGTCGAATGTGGTGACACATACAATGCCAGCGCCTCAGAGGCTGAGATAGGAGGATTGATGAGGAGAGAGCTGGGGGCTAGCCTGGGCTTTCCAAGCAGTGAGGTTGGGGTTTGAGATAGGGAGACAGCCCATTAATCTGATGACCCCCTTCAACAAGGGAAGAAAAGTTATTTCCTGATCATTTTGACTTAATGATAGAGATTTAGCCCCTGACCTTAGATTCCTAAATTGGGGTGAGGGTGCTGTTTCTGGGGCCTCATGTTTGGGAGACCCTGTCTGATGAAAGAGGCCATGTCCTCTGCCCTCCCTTTCTCCCTATCTGGAGGAGATGACTGGTCCCAACCCTGGGGAGCCCTCGTCTGATAGGGTCACCACTGACCAGCTGTACACATGGCTCTTCCCTTGGACATCAGATGGTGGCTGGGTAAAGAGTGAGTTCCCACAGGCCTCCTGGAGAAGAACAACACTGAGGCGAGGGGAGGAAGTGGGAGAATTTTGCGGGTCAAGTGAAGCCTGGTGGGGGAACTTAGGGCCTGTGGCTGGAGCAGTGGTTGAGACCGTGATGGTAGGCATAAGGCAGAGAGAGAGACTAGGAATGGGCGTTTCCTCAAAGCCACTCCCAGTAACACACCTCCAACAAGGCCACACCTTCTAATCCTTCCCAAACAGTTCCACCAACCGGCGACCAAGCATTCAAATACATTCAAATACAAACAGCTCCTGATGGGAGCTCTTCTCGTTTCAAACACGGTAGAGAATGCTGGATCAGTACAGGCGGTTGAGCCAAAGTCTCAGAAGCCAACTCAGAACCTGGAAAGTGTGAGGCCTGACATCCCTGACACAGAGACTCTGGCATTGGTGTTGAGGAAGCTAGGGGCCCAGAGTTCTGCCCCGCTGTTAGTTAAAGGCTCACAGCTGGGGCCTTGGGGACACTCACTAGTTGGAACTGTGGTCCCCAGTGGCCCACTGATTGCCACTGATGGGAAACACTGCCTCACCCCGCCCACGACTCCACATCAGCTCCCCCTGAGGCCCACAGGGAGTCTGGACAACAGAGTGGGTAGACTGCTAGATCAGGCAGAGAGGTGGCACCGGCGACAACAGTACCGCGCTGTCCTGCTGTCTGTCCCTTTGTTCTGGCCGGAGCTCCTTCCTAACGCCCCTCAGGCCAGCCCGCCAGCACAGACATGGGCAGCCGCTGGCTGCTGCTACTGCTGCTGCTGCTGCTCAGGGACAGAGCCCTCAACCTGCCTGGTGAGTACCCAACAAACTTTCCTTCCTCCACTTGGAGCTTCTTTCCTGACTGGCCGGAGAGGCAAAGAACCTGCTAGAAGGAAGCCCAGGTGATATCACTAGGGGAGGCTCAGCCACACCCTAAGCAACCTTTCAGCTGTCTAAAAGGCATAGGGTAGAGGCAGACAGGGTGAGCTGCATGGGGCTCTGGCCTCTCCCAGGCAGCTCTTCCAAAGCGCTAGCTAGCTTTGCCTGTCTGACTGCTGCATCTTGCCAGTCTTTGTCTGTCTACTCATCCCATCTGTTGACAGGTTAATAGCTTGGGCTTTCAGCAGCCTGAGGGCCCTGGTGTTCGGGCCCTGTCGCTTTGCCTTTCTCTGACAAGACCAGCACTGTGATGGCTTCCAGGTTGAGAAAGGAAAGCATTCTGGGTTCTGAGTTCCTCCGTCAGTATGAGGGAAGATACAGGCAACACACTGTGTGTGTCATCAGCTCCCAGGGTCCATGACTTTGACTGGGGACAGGAACCTCTTTGACAAGGCAGTGAAGAGGCACACATCAGTAAGTATGGTGAAAGCAGCAGCAGGGTGGGAGAGCGCTCTCGTAGCTCCATGAGTGGAGCGCCTGCCCGTGCCCGTGCCCGTGCCTGTGCCTGTGCCTACCCATGCCCGTGCCCATGCTCGTGCCTGTGCCTGTGGCGAGCATTGTGTGGAGGCTTCTCTTGCTTTACCTTAAGCAGTCTCAGGGTCACAGTGAAGTAGGTGCCATTAGCATCCCTACAAAGCGGGAATGCAAACTGTGGCTCAGGGTCTCGTGCTGATCTCCACAGCCTCCTAATCACACAGTTAAGGAATGGCCCCAGTCACCCAGAAGGGCTTGCCCCCCCGGTCACACAGTAGGATCACCCCCAAGTCACGCAGTGGGGATCACTCCAGGTCTGACTCCAGAGCCTAGGCCACACACCATTGCTGAGGGCAAGGGGTCTCAATAATCACGAAGATTTTCACCAAACTTGAAATTTCAGCCTATTTCCCAATCGGGGCTTGTAGATAAGCTGATTCTAACATGTGTAAGAAAGGAGAGAAGGAAGCACAGACCCGTGACGCTAGCTAGCACTCTCGTGTGGAAGGAAGAGCAGATGCTCAAGGTCAGCCTAAGCTACGGTCTCAAAGAATCCAAGAGGTAAATAAATAAATATTAAAATGCCCAATAAGATCCATGGTGTGTGTGTGCCCGAGAAGCAACTGGTTGACCACTTAGAAAAAGCAAGTGTGATGGAAGGGTCAGACATCAGACTGACCCTTTATAGAGAATGAAGAAGGGTAGAAGAAGGTAGCAGGGTCCAGGACCCTGGGCCTTCCACACAGTGAAAGCCCAGGCTAGGCTGTCAGAGCCCTGGAGCCAGAGTTCCAGGCCATTGTAAGCCGTGCAGCATGGACACTGGGAACAGAACTTGCGTCCTCTGGACGAACAGCAAGTGCTTTTAACTGCCAGCTGTCTCTTCAGCCTGTCCCACCCTCAGGCAATTAAAAAAAATAGTAGATAGATAAATGGAGGTTTGTTTGTTTGTTTTTTGGAACAGCTCTTGGCCACCATGCAGGGGGGAGAGAGGGAGAGAGAGACTGGCATTCACAGAGAGAAGGCGACAGATGATGTGGGGTTGGTGCAGGGATACAGAAGTAAGCCAGCCGATGGAGACTGATGGCAGAGTGACAGATCGGCATATTAATCAGTGGGGAAAAGACAGACCTCTGCACAGGGACAGAACAGCTGGCTGGCCACTTAGAAAAAGCAGAAGGGAAGTCCGCTTAGGCCTGGCAGTACACACCTACAGGCCAGCACTGGGGAAGCATGGGATCTGGATTTTAAGGTTAACTTGGGCTACTCGCAACCCAAAAAATAAATAAAACAAGATAAGACAAAATAAAATAAAAGCAAAGCATGCAGTTCAAGATGAGGGATTTAGCCCCCCCGTGCACATAAAAACATGAGGTCCCTATAAAAAGGTATCCGCTCTCCTGAGGGCTTTTGTGGCTCCTCTAACACTGAGCCCAAGTATTTCATTATGCTGAGTGGGAATCAGAGACCTCAGCATTTCCCACAAGAAGTATGTAATAGAACCAATGCCCTTCCCAAGCCTCCCTTCTCTTCTCCAGCATCCCAGGCATCCACAGGAGGAAGACCTTGGAGTGTGGTCGGGATGGGTGTAGGCAAGGCCGAGGGCCAGTGCCTCCTCAGACGTAGTAGATGGGCAGGACAGCGTGGCCCGTGCTAGGTCACTTTCCAGTCTTCCAGATCAGCTCTCCGGTAATTGCTAGGAATCCACAGCGGGGCATCAGGTGACGGCCTGTTTCTGCCCGTTGCCCAGGGGAAGGAGCAAGGTTTCCCTGGGGATCTAGTTCGTCGTTGTATTTGTGTGCGTCTTCCCCTTGAGGGAGAGCAGCTTGAGCAGCCTTGGAAATGAAGCATGGTTACTGTAAGCTGCACAGGGCGGTTGAGAAAACAGGGTCTAACCGATCTGGTTTCAAAAGCACCATCACCACTTCCTAGGGCTGTGGCCTTGGACAGACATCTTTACCCGTTTCAACCTCAGTTTGTGAGGAAACGGGGCTTTAGACAAATGAGAGTAAATGATATCAAGAGCACCAGTACTTCCCCTCCACCCCCAAGACAAGGTTTCTCTGTGTAGCCTTGGCTGTCCTGGACCAACTTTTTAGACCAGGCTGGCCTCGAACTCATGATCCACCTGCCCTGAGTGCTGGGATTACAGGTGTGGCCACCACACCCAGCTAATGACTAGTACTTTAAGACAAGTTGTTTATTATTATCAGTGTGTGTGTGTGTGTGTGTGTGTGAGAGAGAGAGAGAGAGAGAGAGAGAGAGAGAGAGAGAGATGGTGCAGTTGGAAGTCAAATGATGAACCCCAGGACTGAGTTCTCTTTGACTGTGGAATCCAGGGATTAAGCTCAGGTGTCATCTCTGTGTGGCAACTTTACCTGATAAACCATTTTACTGACGGCGCTTTTTAAATTTTTTTTCTTAGTAAGTAACATTGTTGGGGGTTTCGCTTTGTTTTTGATTTGTTTGTTTGTTTGGGACAGGGTTGCTCTGTAGACCAGGCTGGCCTTGAACTCACAGAGACCCTCCCGCCTCTGCCTCCCAGTGCTGGGACTGAAGGCAGGTGCACACATGCCCACCCTGGGGGGTTGAGGGGTTTGCGTGTTCTTTGGCGATGCTGGGTCTTGCTATGTCACCCTCAGACTTGCTGCTCCCCTCCCCGTCCGCTTCACAGGCACTAGATTAAGGCATCTACTGCTACATCTGGCCTTTTCTGTGTGTCAGCCATTCTCAACCCTTTGGGAGTCAAATGACCCTTTCACAGGGGTCACATAAGACCATGGAAAACACAGACATTTACATAACGATTCATAACAGTAGCAAAATTACACTTATGAAGCAGCAATGAAAATAATTTGTGGTTGGGGGTCAGCACAGCATGAGGAACTGGATTAAAGGTCGTGGCATTAGGGAGGTTGAGAAGCTCTGAGTATGTGGTACTAAGGATTGAAGCCAAGGCCTCAAGATTTCTAGAAAAGCTTCCTACCACTGAGCTGTGTCCCCAGCTGCGCCCACAACACTTTCGTATCTTTTTTTTTTTTTTTTTGTATTTCATTTTTGATTTGAACTGTGGATGGGTGTTTTGCCTGCCTGCATGTTTGTGTACCAACGAGTGCCTGGTGCCCTTGGAGGCCGGGAGAGGATGTCAGATCTTCTGGAACTCCAGACAGTTCTCTCACACCAGTGATGGGAAGCAAGTCTCTGCAAGAGCAGAAAGCGCCCTTCATGGCTAAACTGTCTCTCTCGCCCCCATTTTGCTTTTGTGTTAGGCTTATTTATTTATTTAATGTGTAAGAGTGTTTTGCGTGTGCCTGGCGTCCTTGGAGGTCAGGAGAGGGCGTCAGCTCTGCTGGGACTAGTGTTACAGGTGGTTGTGAACCCACCATGGTGGTGGGTGCTCGGAACTGGATGTGGGTGCTTTGGAAGAGTAACTGTGTGCTCGTAACAGCGGAGGCACTGGTTCAACTATCTTCAAACAAGGCATCAAAAAAGAACACACAGCAAAAGCCAGTCTCCATGAACACTAAAGATCAGGAGTTCAAGGTCATCCTCCGCCACATAGTCTGGCCAGCCCCCCCCCAAAAAAACAAGGAGTTGAGTGAGGCAATTGGGAACTGAAGGCCATTCTCAGCTCATAATGAGTTCAAGGCTAGCCCTGGATTTTGTCTTAAAAAACAAAACAGGACATTCTGGAGGCAGAGGCAAGCAGACCTCTGTGAGTTCAAGACCAGCCTGGTCTACAGAATGAGTTCCAAAATAGCCATAGCTATACAGAGAAACCCTATCTCAGAAAACTAAAACCAAACCAACAACAACCACCAAAAAAAAAGTGGGCATGGTTCCAGCTACTTATAATCCTGGAATGTAGGAGGCAGAGGCAGTTGGATAGTCACAGGTCCCAGGCCAGTTTAGGTTACAACATGGGGCTTCCTAGTGAGACCCTGTCTCAACCAAAAAAATGGAACACTTGCCTAATGTACAAGGCCTTGAGTTTGAGCCCCAGCGCTGCAAACAGAAAGCATAACAGGGTTCCATTTTTTGCTAACTGGATTCTCACCCGTCCTAGGGTAGATGTTAATTTGAACGAGACACAATCGTCCACCTGGTGAGCAGCATTTAAAACACTAATAATTTTGTTAGTTATTCGAGAACTTTGGCTGGAGAGACGGCTCAGCGGTTAAAGAGCACCGTCTGCTCTTCCAGAGGTCCTGAGTTCAGTTCTCAGCAACCACATGGTGGCTCACAACAGTCTATACTGGGATCTGATGTCCTCTTCTGGCATGCAGGTGTACTTGCAGATAGAGCACTAATACACAGAAGAAAGAAAGAAGGAAAGAAAGAAAGAAAGAAAGAAAGAAAGAGAGAGAGAGAAAGGAAGGAAGGAAGGAAGGAAGGAAGGAAGGAAGGAAGGAAGGAAGGAAGGAAGGAAGGAAAAAGAGAGAATTGTATATAACGTATCACCCCCACCTCACCCCAACTTCCTCCTTGCTTCATTGTGTCCTCTTTTGTGTGTGTGTGTTGTTGTTGTTGTTTTAGAAGACACTATCTCGATGTAGATTTCTTTGTCCTCTGGGCTCTTACGCTCTCTCCATCCCCCTCTCTCTGAGCCTTAGATGAAGGGTGAAGGGGTTACAGACTCCTCAGTTGGGACTGGGCACTCCAAGGTCGGTTCTCTGCGTTTTTGACTAGTTGTGGCTTTCTGTGACAGTGTCCATCTGTTGGGGGGTGGGGGGGCTTCTTTGCTGAGCGAGAGCCCTACTTCCGTGTGGCTGGGAGGTGAGCGTCGGAAGTGGATCTCAATTTCCCAGCGAGTGTGTACTGTTTGGAAGAGAAGAGTGGCAGTCAGCGCCTCTGAGAAGTGGTAGGATCGTTAGGTTTGTTGTCTTTATTTCTGTTGCCGTTGTTGTTTTCACAGGCCGTGCTTTCGTCTGGGTCATTGCCTCAGACCCACCTTCCAGAAAAGGCTTTGTGCTTAACAGAAATCTATCCTGCCCGTCTACGAGTTCAGGTGTCCCTCACAATACGAAAGCCCACATCTCCACAGAGGAGCTCAGCAGTCCCTCAGTGACGGAGACACCCACGTCTAAGTCCCAGGAACAGATGACAGCGGCCATGCTCCCAGCATCACCCGAAGGCAGCTGTGAAACCCACCATGAGCCGCCGGCCTCAGCAGCGCACACACCTGCCGGGACAGCCACCACCGACAGCCCGTCACTGTCAGATTCCACGGTGGCCGCCACAGTAAAGGAACCGCTAGGGGCACCCCAAACCACAGTTTTATCCAGCTTGGCCCCTCCACCTGAGAGCCCACCACCGAATCTAACTGTACCCTCCTCCGCACCGGACAAGGCCAATGACAATGAACCCTCGACAAACACCTCTTCAGCAAGCACAACCACCCTGAGGGCAACCGAGGGCTCGGCCACGTCTGGGGCTCAGGGAAGGGACACTACGCCTGTACCCTCACACACAGCAACCACCCCCACAAAGGGCAAGCCACCAGACACACAGCACAGCTCAGTCCCGCAGACCCCTTCCCAGCCGGCACAGACAGGCTCTAATGTCAGCACAATTCTAGTCCCAGAGGTGTCACCACCAAAGCCTACCACCCCTGGAGTGAGATCATCAGTGTCCCCAGAGGAGGCGGACACAGCCGTGACGACACCTTCAATGGCGTCAAGCACAGCAGAGGATGCCAGCCCACCCTCTGGAACTGGGACACCCACCGAGCCCAAGACGTTAACCCCAACCCCGCCCTCACCAACACTGGACAAAGTCGGTGACATAAATAAACCTTTACCCGTGACAACCTCGGCCGCTACAAACACCACCTCACCTACTCCAGCCACCCTGAACACAGCCGCCTCCGAGACTCAGGACAGGGACACTGCAGCTGGGCCCCCGACCCCAGCAACCACCCCCACAACGAGCAAGCCACCAGACACACACCAGGACTCAGTCACACGGACACCTTCCCAGCCAGCGCCCACGGGCTCAAGCGTGGGCTCGGGTGCCGCCCAGTCACCTAACCATTCCACAGCCCGTGCCCCCAGCTCCTCAGACACAACCACATCCTCCACTGTGACCAGCAAAGCACCCCCCGGCTCTAGCCAGAGCAGTGCTCCAGGAGGTGGCACCTGTGCTTTGGATGAGTATCTGGCCAGCCCGGGGGGTTGTATGTGTAATGACAGCTACTATCCCGATTTGGGTAAGTCTGAGCCATCCCTTCCCGGAAATCCCTCTTCCTCCTCCTCCTCCTCCTCCTCCTCCTCCTCCTCCTCTTCCTCTTCTTCGTTTCTCTTTTATTTTAATTTTACGTATTATGAATGTGAGTGACATGAATAGCCCATGTGAACACAGAGGCTAGGGCAGTCATGGAACTCTGAGAAGAGGTTGGGAAGCCGTTACCCCGAAATGAATGAGTCCACCAGAGGGGGATTCTTCTTTGCTGTTGTTGTTAAAGATTTATTTATTTATTTTATGTGTGTGAGTACTCTATCTGCATGTACACCTGTGTGCCAGAAGAGGGCACCAGGTCCCAGTTCTGAGTCACCATGTGGTTGCTGGGAATTGAACTCAGGACCTCTGGAAGGGCAGACAAGTGTTCGTAACTGCTGAACCACCTCTCCGGCCAGATGTGATTTAGAGGAAAGGCAGGCAGCTGCACAGATGAGACGGTCTACTCGTCCCTAGACCCCAGGACCTGAGCTGCTGTCCAGATACAGACAGGGATTACAGGCATATGTGGTATGCCCAGCTTTGCACGCGCGCGCGCACACACACACACACACACACACACACACACGCACGCACGCACGCACACACACACCATGGTCTATCTAGCTTCTGCTTGGAACGGGAGAGTTAGGGAATAAGGGAATTAACCTCTCAAAATCCAATCTTGCCAGACAAGTTTCATCTAGGTAAAGTATAACTATTTCATCGAGGCCCAGGCCAGGCTCCCTTGGCCTCTGCACCTGTTCTGTTCCTCTATCCATTGACCCAACTCTCAGTCTACCTGGCTCAAGATGGAACTTTGTTGAGTCAGGGTCTCTTAGTCCAGAACCAGCCTGGTCACTGAAGATCACCCGATCCTTCTGCCTCTGTCTCCTAAACTCTGGGATTATAAGCATCTGCCATCACACCCTATTTATGCAGCACTGGGGATCAAACCCAGGCAAGCTCTCTAATATAGACTAAGCTATAGTCCCAGGCCCACATTAGGCCCAGGTGCTAATTCTTGGAAAAGAGATTCTAAGGATCTGTGAGGGCCAGGAATCAGGATCTCATAACTCAAGAGATGGTTCTTGGGATCTACTTGTGTGAGAATCTGTGTTCAAAGAGATTTAATTTTTACTGCTGTTTCAAGACAGGGTTTCTCTGTGTAGCCTTGGCTGTCCTGGAGCTTGATCTGTAGACCAGGCTGGCCTCAAACTCACAGATTATCTGCCTGCCTCTGTCTCCTGAGTGCTGAGACTAAAGACATGCACTACCACGTCGAGATATATTTACCATTTTAATAATTATTGGTGTGGTGGTGGTGGTGGTGGTGTGTGTGTGTGTGTGTGTGTGTGTGTGTATGTGTATGTGTATTAAGAGGCATACATGCCATGGTGTTCATGTGGAGGTCAGAGGACAACTTTGCGAAGTCAGTTCTTTCCTTCCACCTTATGTGGGCTCAGAGGATTGAACTCAGGTCTCCACGGCAAGCCTTGACCCACTGAGCCATCTTGCCGGCCGTCTAAGGAAGCTTTTGTGGGTTAGACCACTATTCTCAGTTTTCTTCACCCACCTGAGAAACAGTACTCCTTCGCATGTTATCACCCCAGGTCCTCAGGAGACCCTGCCCCTGGCTCTTGTTCCCCTGCAGAACTATCCAGGGAGATAGCGACCCTGCGCTGCAGGCCGCGGGACATTGAGGTGACTCTCAGGAGCTGTTTCCTGAAGACTCGCCACTGGGCCCTGAAGAATGAAACCTTGACGTGTTTCAGTATCAATAGGATAGAACAGGGTCACCGGGTCCAGGTCTTTCAGCTGGAGAAGAAGGAGGGAACTTGCGGACTCCACCTCGCTGTAAGCTGAAGGGGAGATTTAAGAGGGAGGGGAAAGGTACGGGGCGGGGCTTGAAAGCCGTGGGGGCGGGACTGGGAAAGCTGTGGGCGGGGTTTGAGAGCTGTGGGGCGGGGCTTGGAAACTGCGGGGGCGGGGCAGGGAAAGGAGTAAGACTTCTGAACTGTCTTACTGTGTAGCCTTGGTTGGCATGGAATTATGTAGCTCAGGCTAGCCTGGAACTCACAGAGTTCCGCCTGTGTCCACCCCCCGTGCTGCTGGAATTAAAGGTGTGCACCTCCACTTAGAATTTTTTTTTTTTTTTTTGAGACAGGGTCTCTCTATGTGGCCTGGGTGTCCTGGAACTTTCTGTGTAGACCAGGCTGGCCTCTGTCTCCAGTGATGGAATTTAAGACATATAACATTACACCCAACTCAGACTTAGAATTCTTTTTTTGTTTATTTGTGGGTTTTGGTTTTGGTTTTTCGAGACAGGATTTCTCTGTGTAGACTTGGCTGTCCTGGACTCACTTTGTAGACCAGGCTAGCCTCGAATTAACAGAGAGCCACCTGCCTTGGCTTCCCTGAGTGCTGAGGATTACAGGTATGTGTCATCATGCCCAGCATTAGACTTAGAGTTCTTTTTTTAAAGAAAAGATTTATTTATTTATTGTATATGAGTGCTCTATCTGCATGTACACCTGCATGCCAGAAGAGGGCATCAGATCCCAGTATAGATGGTTGTGAGCCAGCATGTGGTTTCTGGGAATTAAACTCAGGACCTCTGAAGAGCAGACAGTGCTCCTAACTGCTGAGCCATCTCTTCAGCCTCAGACTTAAAATTCTTAATAGCTTGGTGATCCTATTTTTTTCCCCCAAGAGATTCTAAAACGCAAACTGACACCTATAGTTTCAGAGTTCAGAAAGCTGAGGCAGGAGGATTGCAAGTCTCCGGACAGCCTGGGCTACAGAGCAGGATGCTCTCCTTGCCCTGGAGAGATGGTTCAGCAGTTAAGAGCTGTATTGCAGAGGGTCCAGGTTCTGCCAGCACCAGCAGTGTGCACAATTGCTTAAAATCCAAATCCAAGGAATCTGACACCCTCTTCTGTCCTCCTCAGGCACCTACCCACACAGAGATACACACACGTACATGATTTTTGTAATAAAAGAAGCCTTTAAAGATTCTGTAGACCACCAACCACCACCACCACCACGAAGATAAAAAGCCCGGATGTGGTAGTGCATGCTGATGACTTCAGCACTTAGGAAGGCAGGAGAGGGCTCCAGGCCATCCTCTGCTAGCTGGAGACTAGTTTACACTGCCTGATGCCCTACCTCAAAAATAATGTAAAATAAAACAAACATTGGCTTTTATGAGCCACGCGGTAAGAGCCTCCTTTGGCAACTGTCAGTTCAGTCTCCTCTACCACATAAACTGAGCACTGTGGCACAAACTGGTAACCCTGACACTTGGGAGATGGAGCCAGGTAGGTCAGGGATTCAAGACCGCCTTCGGCTCCATAGTCACTGAGGGCAGCCTGGGCTACATGGGACCCCATCTCAAGAAAAGAAATGTAGGAACCATGGCATGAGGATTAAAGTCATGGGCCCCAGAGCCAGAGTGATGTTGGGTTTAGGTCCCGTCACTTGCTTTATACACCTCTTAGCCCGCTCGAGCCTCATTTCACTCATTTATAAAATGGGGCTGGTGCCAGGTATGGTGGGTGCCAGTACTCGGGGAGGCAGAGGCAGGCAGATCCCTGTGAGTTCGAGGCCAGCCTGGCCTACAGAGCAAGTCCAGGACAGCCATGGCTACAGAGAGTAACCCTGTCTTGAAATGGCCCCCCAAAGGGGGGATGCTGATAACAGCGAGCTATGTTCAAGCCACAGTACCAGGCTCAAAGAGTTCAGCTACTGATTTTGTTTAAATAAGCATCATGTAGCCAGAGAGGATGGGAGAAGGCGTTTACCCCAGGGACTTATGGGTAATGGCTGCCCACCTACCTGTCTTTTCTAGACCAACGCCAGCCATGCCCTGCACTCTTTGGATGTGCACCTTGAACAGGCTCTCCCTGGCGCCAGCAACACCAGCTTCAAAGTGCTACAGCTAAGCTGCGCGTACCCCCTGGTGGTGAACGCCAGCAAGCCTGTCTCCAGCCAGGAGGTGTCCATTCTGTGAGTTCTGCCCACTCAGCTCTCTCTGCAGCTAGGTCCTGGGTTACGCCCGAGTTCTCATTGCTACCTCTCATCTAGGCCAAAGATGCAATGTCCAGGGGAAATTGGTCCTCATGCTCACCCACCACGTGTAAACACCTATTACAAGGAGAATGTTTCTGGGAAGAGATGCATTGTGGGTTACTTAGGTAAATTACGGTGGAGTTAGATAGCTGCCAAGGTCTGGGAAACTTATAATGTGGAACTTCATCATTTTAAGCGGTCATCTTTTGTTTCATTTATATTTATTTATCCTGTGAGAGTGTGTGTGTGTGTGTGTGTGTGTGTGTGTGTGTGTGTGTGACATGCATGAGTCTGTTCTGTTTCCTCAGATCATCAGGCATGGCAGCAAGAGCCTTTACCCACTGAGCCATTTTGCTGACCCATCTTTTTCTTTTCCCTTTCTTAGGACATGTTTGTGTGGTGCGTGCTAGTCCATGTACACGTGTGTTCATGTGGATGTGGATGTAGGCCAGAGGACATCCTCTGATATTCTTTACTCACTCTTCAACTTATTTGTTTACTTGTTTATCTCTTTTGTTTTGTTGTGTTTTCTTTTTCAAGACAGGGTTTCTCTGTGGAGCCATGGCTGTCCAAGACTCGGCTCTGTAGACCAGGCCGGCCTTGAACTCACTTTGATCCGACTGCCTCTGCCTCCTCGAGCACTGGGATGACAGGCCTACGCTATTGTACCTGGCTTTGTTCTTTGTCGTTGTCATTTGTTTGTTTGTTTTGTTTTGTTGCTGAAACAGGGTTTATCTCTGTGTAGCCTTTGCTATCCCGGAACTACGTAGACCAGGCTGCCCTTGAACTCATAGAGATCCACCTGCTCCTGCCTCCTTGGTGCTGGAATTAAAAGAGCAACAGGATACACGTTATTTGTTTATTTTTAAATTTGAGTTTGGATCATTTTTATTTCACGTGTATCAGCCTTCTCCCCGCAGGCATGTCTGTGCACCAAGTGTGTGCCTGGTGGCCATGGAGGACAGAAGAGGGCAATGCATCCCCTGGAACAGGAGTCGCAGACTACTGCGAGCTGCCATGGGGGTGCTGGGAATCAGGGTTGGGTCCTCTGGAACAGATAGTGCTTCTAACATCAGAACCATCTCTCCAGTCCCTAGTTGCTTATTTAATTTCAAATTTTTATGGATTTATATTGAGAGTAAGAGTGTGTATGGAAATAGATTCTCAGGGCAATGATTCTACCCTGCCTCCCAAGCCACCAGACTCCAGTGGGTCTGAAGCTAACAAAGGCTCTGTCAGATCTGCCTCACTGTGCAAGCTGCTCTGCACACGGCCTGTGGCAGCAGACGCAGCGTGGTCTAGAATAGGCTGTGAGAGTATGTGTTCGGTCCCTAGTCTTGGAACAAATTTATCCTTTCCTCTCCTTGATCCCTATCCCAGGGTGCAGAGAACAAGAGCTTTACCTGATTGCGTTGGATACTGTTAAGTGTTCTCCAGAACTTGAGCTCTTCTCTTTGCCAGGAGTTCAAACGAAAGACTTTATTCTTAGAAAGAGCACAGGTGACCCCCCCAAACAGCTACCTCCTCATAAAGTCCCATTCCGTCATGGATGACGCGCTCATGGAAGCTGCATCATAGAATCCCCTGCCTTGTTCTTTGAGGCAGGATTTCCCATTGGTCTCAAACTCACCAGACAGGGCTAGCCTGGTTGGCCAGCGACCTGAGTCTTACCTCTTCCAATAGTTAGCTCACTTGCTCTGTAGACCAGGCTGGCCTTGAACTCACAGAGATCTGCCTGCCTCCCAAATCCTGGGATTAAAGGCATGTGCCACAATCGCCTGGCATGCCTGGGCTTCTTCACACAGGCCACGGGGCCCGATCCCATGTGCCTCACATTGAGAACTTTACCTACTTCCTTCCCAGTCTGTCTTTTCATCGGCTGCCATTACTCAGAGACTTTGAAAGTAAATCAGGTGAATAAGTGTCCTTCTTCCCTCTGAGAGTTCATGGTTGAGAAGCTCACTCTCGTTCCTTTGGATACAGCACCAACCACGTTCCAAGTACTGGGGAGCTTGCCTTCACCCTGAGCATCTTCACAGACCCTGAGCTCTCCACTCCGCTCAAGAACAGTACGGCTCCTGTCGGCATGACCCTCTACGTGGTCCTCAAGTGTACCAACAGTGATCCTGCCCAATTTGCCCTGGTGGCTAACGAGGTCTTTGCCAGTACCAACCAATCCAACACAGAGGCTGAGGCCACCCATCATTTTGTGAAGGACAGGTAAGGATCGATCAGGCCCCAGCTCTTGGACTGTGGTTTGTACGGGTGCCTTTGTTCCTATGAGCACAGACCCTGTCCTTCTTTTCGGTATCCCTGGCATTTAGCCTCATTTTACAGATGAGTAAACTGAGGCTCGGGGAAATTAAAACTTGCTCAGGATGGCACCTCCAATAGGTGACATTCATTTCTTCTATTCTTTCCCCCAGTTACTGAGGGTCTGCAGTGAAGAGGTAAAAAGTAACAGTAACGTTTCAGAGTGTCATAAGCTCTGTTGTATATTGTATATTATATTACATGTAATAGCTAACAACAGCCATTAACAACATGGTATGTATCCTGGGCCAGGCATAGTTTGAGTCACTTCACTTCACAGATGTCAGTTAATTATCTATCTATCTATCTATCTATCTATCTATCTATCTATCTATCTATCTATCTATTTGTATTTTTAAGACATGGCTTCTCTGTGTAGCCCTGGATGTCCTGGAACTAGCACTGTAGACCAGGCTGGCCTAGAACTCAGAAAAATCCACCTGCTTCTGCCTTCCCAGAGCTGGGATTAAAGATGTGTGCCACCACCTCCACCAACACCACCGGCTCTAAAAGGTTCATTTAAATCTTAGACACTACAGGCGTAGCTATATTTTGATTCCCTTCTTACACAGGAGGAACTAAGGCTCATTTGAAGTGCGTGGTGGGCGGCTGACTTTGCTCAGTGCTGAGCATACTACGGTAAGAGCCGGGTCTCTTAACCGGGTGCAGTGGCCTATGCCCCAAATCCAAGCGCTTGGGAGGCTGAGGCAGGGGAATGATCTAGAATACCAGGCTAGCCAAGGAAGACACCAAGACCCTATTTTAGAAAATAACTATTAAATAAAGGAAAAAGCTAGGCACAGTGGTGCAGCCTACAACCTAAGTTCTCAGAAGGTGGAGGCAGGGGGCTTGAGAGTTAGAGGCTAGCTTCAGCTACATAGTGAATTCCAGGCCAGCCTGCGTTACTCGAGATCAGGACTCAAAATTAGAGAGAGAATGGATATTCTTACTTGCCTGTCACATTTTATTACTATTGACAGTAGTCTTCACAGAAACATAGTGGATTCCGCAGTGGTTTACAGCCCACAAAACAACCCCACGAAGGAATATTTCCTCCACCACACAAATGTGCGAGCAGAGGGCTGACAGTCTGACAGAGGGTTGCTTCTGCTCAGATGCTCAGCGTGGTCCCCAAACACACTGCTAATTGTATGTCAGCATACAATTAGCTTTTCCTTTTTCTCAAGGTTCTGGGGTTCCTACGTAGGGCCAGCAGCCTGCTAGAATGGCACTCTGGCCCAACCTGGAAGACCTACTTCCCCAGACTTCAGTTTCCTCCTTATTTAAAAAGGGCCAAGGCTGGAGAGATGGCTGGGAGGTTAAGAGCACTGGCTGCTCTTCCAGAGGTCCTGAGTTCAATTCCCAGCAACCACATGGTGGCTCACAACCATCTATAATGAGATCTGGTGCTCTCTTCTGGCCTGCAGGTGTACGTGTGTAAATAATAAATAAATACATCTTAAAGGGCAAGCCAGCCAGTCATTGTTGCACACAGAGGCAGGCGGATCTCTGTGAGTTCAAGGCCAGCCTGGCCTACAAAGCCAGTCCAGGACAGCCAAGACTACAGAGAAAAACCCTGTCTTGACAAACAAAAAATAAATTAAAAGAAAAGAAAGGGCAGGGCCACGGGGTTGGAGAGATGGCTTGGCAGTTAAAAGCTTTTGCTGTTTGTGCACTGGCCCTGGCTTGGGTTCTCAGCTCCCACGCAGTTTCCCACAATCATCTGTGACTCCAGTTCCAGGTCACCCTCCTCTGACCTCCGTGGGCACTGTTCTCCCGAGTCACGCAGACACGCTGCAGGCAAACACGTACAGACATAAAATAAAACAAATAAGCCTTTAAACATTGCGAGCAGTCAAAAGTGCGGTCTTTCTCACAATATTGATGTGGGGCTGAAATTAAATAAATACACGGAAAGTTACTTCTCAAGCAGGAGGCCCAACACCCGCTACCACACAGGACAAGTTAAAGTGGCGGAAGTCAAGCTTTGTGTGTCTACACCTCGGGTCCCAAGCCCGGGTGCCAACGATGGATTCGAGCCCTTCTCCCTGCAGCTGCCCAGTCCGGGGCCGGATGCTTCAGGACTTGACCAACGGGGCCTCCATATACGTGACGCTGGCCTTCACTCTGTCACGATTCTTGAATAGCGACACGCTCTACCTCCATGCCCAAGTGACCCTCTGTGACAAGCAAGCGGGTCGCCCGTGCCAACCGGTGAGTAGGGTTCCTGAAGGCCAACAGTGCATCTGGGACTGAAGTGAGGGTTGGCGGTTGTGTGTGTGATATCCTGTTGGCCTAGCTCTCCAGGGTCTGGGCTTTTGGAAGAGCTAAAGGTGGGCCTTTGGGGTCCTATGTGGTGTAGATGGAAATGGTGAACTCACTGGGGCCGCGGGGTAGTGGAGCTCGGGTCACAGAGCTCCCGGGGGACCTCTGAGCTGTCTTGTTACCCGCAGTCCTGCAGTGGGAAGAATCCCCTGAGGAGAAGTTCGCCCTGGGACGCTCGAGCCGGGACCCACGTGGAGCCTGGAGGTGGCAAGTGGATAGTGTTCGGGCCTCTCCGAATAAGTGGTACATGGATAGACCGAAAAAGGGTGCCCAGTTCCCCGGACCTGGGGTCACAGACAGTTGTGAGCCAGTGCGTGGGTGCTGGGAATCGAACTGGGTCCTCCGAAAGAGCGTTCAGTACTCTTAACCACTGAGCCAGCTCTCCAGTCCCTCGAGGCTCTCTCGATATCTCCTTTCCTGTCATATCAGCCCACTCTTCTCAGCTGCCTTTCCCGCCAACCTCTCTCTGGCCATTATTCTTGGCCTTTCGTCTTTCAGTTCCATTAGGGTTCTTTTACCCTCTTTGGGATATCCCATGCCTCTAGTAAACCCGATGGCATCTTCTCCCCCTTCTGAGTCCCAGCTTTCAAAAAATAAAAATAAAAAAGCCACCCTCCTTTGCCCAGTCCTGGTGGAATGGTGGGCGGGTTCTGGCCACGCCCTGTGCCAGGGGCGCTTTGAACTCAGTCTCTGTTTCTGTGTGCTTGCAGAGTCCAGAGCCTCCAGCAGCTGGAGCCCAGCAGGTTGGTATAAAGGGATTGCTGTAGTGAAGGAAGTTCTGATTTTACACCGGTTCTCTGGGGCTCACACCAGGTCTTGGCTGCTGCTGATCTTGGATACTGTCTCTTCTCAGAGCTGTGCCACCAGGATGTCAGTTAACCTCTCCACGTCACAGCTGGAGCTGTAGGTAGCAGAGTTAAGGTGGGGCTGTTGCCTTATCCTGCCTCAAAAATCTCAGACTACCCGGAAATGACTGAGAGTAAGGGCTGGCGGTATAAAATGCACCGGGTGCAGCAGAGCACGCCTGAGCCCGGAGGTTAGAGCCAGCCTGTGCAAGTTAGCGAGACCCAGCTCAGCAGGAAAGCCAGGTGTGGCTGCTTACCCTGTAATCGCCGCAATCAGGAGGGGCAGGCAGGAGAATCAGGTGTTCAAAGCTCTCCTTGGCTGCAGAGCAAGTCGGATGCTTCCTGCTATGTGAGGTCTAGCCCTGGGACCCGTATGTGGTAGGAGAAAACCCAGGAAAGTTGTCCTCTGACCTCCACACGTACATCATGGCACGCACACTTAAGGAAAACAAGTAAATGTAACAGCAAGAAAAAAAGAGTCTCCCAGACTCTGAAAGCAACTCCAATCCCATTTTTAAAAGATTGACTTTATTTTAAACTGTGTGTGTGTTACTCTGCACATGTGAGTGCTTGCCAGAGGTGTTGGATCTCCCTGGAACCCAAGTTATTGACTATTGTGTCCTGTCCCACACGTGGGTGCTGGGAACCGGGCTGAGGTCTTCTACAAGAGTAGTATGTGTCAAGCCATCCCCAGCCCCTTCCATATATTTGTAATCGTTTCTTTCTTTCCCCCCAGGAGCCTGGATGTCCATCTTTCTCTTGATCCTGATTGGCTGGATGCTGGAATAAAGCCTGGCCCAGCTTCCAACTCCAATCCTAGAGCTTAGTGTCTTAGTTTACCCACAGAGACAACGGTGGAGGAAGATTTGAGTAGAGGGTAGCCTCCGTTGGGTACCAGAGATGCTGGTCGAGGACCAGTGGGTGTGGCCCAACCTTGTGAGCAATGGGGCTGCTGTACAGTGGACTGTGCTTGCTCATCATGCCTTCTTTTCCTGTCTCTGGAACTCTTGGGGGAGGCTGTGCGATTAGAGTGCTCAATATGATGGAGGGGAAAGCAGAGAATTTATGGTCAGTAAACTCAAGGAATTCTCTGTGTTCTGATGCCTGTCTGTATTATCAGACCACGATGATTCAGTGCTCCAGTTCGATTAACTGAAGGATTAGAGATGGGACAGGTGTGTGTGTGTGTGTGTGTGTGTGTGTGTGTGTGTGTGTGTGTATAAAATCACTTTATTTCTATGGGACTTCATCTCAACGCATGCAAATAGAGAGTATTTGGGCCAAGTGTGGTAGCGTATGCCTTTGATCCCAGCATTCAGTGAGGCAGAGGCAGGACAGTTGATGTGATTTCGAGGTCAGCCTAGTCTACAAAAGGAGTCCAGGACAGCCAAGGCTACACAGAGAGGCCCTGTCTCATAAAAACAAAATAAAACAAAAAGAATTTGACCAGATGATCCCCACTTCAACATGGGAATCATTCTCAGGTGGTCCTTGGGCCTTCCTTGATCAGTTGACCCTACTTTCTCTCTCTCTCTCTCTCTCTCTCTCTCTCTCTCTCTTTTCTCCTCCTACAAAATAGTCAAAACTGTTCAGTTCCAGGATGAAAGTTAAATGCATTTATATGACATTGCCACGCCTTTTCGCCCCATCCCTTGGTTATCCCTGGCCTCATTAGGCCCCCTTTCCTAGTTGAGGTTGGATACAGCAACACCGTTTGTGCTGCCGTCATTAATTCATCCTAACCAGAATCTATTACCTACCTGGGACCACTTATACCCGAGGATTCAACAGTTCACGAGGCAATCTTAGACAATTAAGGACAGGGTGGATGAGTGTGGAAGCGGACTGTGGACCAGGAAACAGGACAGACTTTAGATGTTAACAGGCAAGCCATGCAAAGCGGTGTGCACCTGTAACCCCGGCAGCCAGAGATGGAGGCTGGAGGATTACTCTGTGTTTGAGGCCAGCCTGGGTTATGTATCAAGACCCTGTCTCAAACAAACAAACATATAAGCAAAATACCACAAAGAACGGGTGAAGGCATCGTCCTTGCATAGCATACACAAGGTCTTGAGTTTGATTTCCAAGACAGCAATAAACTCACACAAGACCTCAAGCATACATCAAACAAACAAGAGCAACAACAGACAGGAACGGGAGCTCGGCACAGTGGTGTGTGTCTGTGATCTCAGCTCCTGAGAGATAGAGCTGGAGTCAGGAAGAGCAGGAGTTATCCTCAGCTACATGGGGTGTTTACTAGCCCTGGGCAAACAGCGAACTCAAGGAGTATAGAAGACCGATTTAAAAAAAAAAAAAAAAAAAAAAAAAAAAAAAAAGGATGTTACTCAAGTCTAGCTTGGAAACCAACAAGTTTACTGGGATGATAAAAAAAAGTTTATTGGGGTTAGCCACAGAGGCGTAAGTGAAGGTTTGCTTCCAGGAGCTTAGAGGACTCAAAGGTAGATGCAGCAGCAAGAGTCCCTCCCTGACATAGGTGAAGCCTCAAAGGCTACATCCCTGGAGCTCCCTGCCCCAAACCCTCTTCACCAGTGGTTATTTACTGCTCACATACTCTCGGGAGTATTGGAGGTGCCTTCGGCATCCTGAACCTTGACATTTTTCGTAGCTTTCCGGTCTCAAGAGCCTTCCCCTTCCCTCCAGGAAGGAGTGTTTTAGTCAGAGGAAGTAGCTATACAACAGTAAAAAGCAGAATAGAAATTCAGTTCAGGGACCTGCGTGTGATGAGCACACCTTCAATCCCAGCACTTGGGAGGCACAGGTAGGCAGAGCTCTAGGAGTTAGGGAGCAGACTGGCTTACACAGTGAGTTCTGAGATCTTAGCTCAAAAAGCAAAAACAAAAACAAACAGACAAACAAACAAACAAACAAAACAAAAAGAGAGGGGTGGGTGCCTGGAGAGACATTTTAGCAATTAAGAAAACTTGTTGCTCTTGCAGAAGACCCAGGATGGATTCCCAGCGACCATATATGGCAGCCCACAAGTCTGTAACTCCAGGAGATCTGATACCCTCTTCTGGCCTTTCTGGCATTGCATGCTCACGGCACACAGACATACATACAGATAAAACATCTATGCACATAAAATAAAAATAATTAAAAATCAAGTTAAGGGGGCTGGAGAGATGGCTCAGAGGTTAAGAGCACTGGCTGCTCTTCCAAAGGTCCTGAGCTCAATTCCTGGCAACAACGTGGTGGCTCAAAACTAGCTATAGTGAGCTCTGGTGCCCTCTTCTAGTGTGCAGGTAAAATGATGTGTAAATAATAAACAAATAAATCTTTAAAAAAATTTAAAAATAAAATTCAGCAGCCTTTTTCTCTATTTATTTGGAGAATAAGTATATGTGTGCATAATGTATGCTCATGGACATATTTGCCATAGGACTGTGTGGTGGTTTGAATAGGTTTGGCCCCTGTAGACGCATGTGTTGGAAAGCTCGGCCCACAGGGAGCGGCTCTATTAGGAGGTGTGGCCTTGTTGAAGGAAGTGTGTCACTGTGGAGGTGGGCTTTGAGGTCTGCCATGTTCAAGATATGCCCAGGGTGACACACAGTCTCCTTCTGCTGCCTGCGGATGAAGAGGTCGGCCTCCCAGCTCCTCCTCCAGCACGTGTCTGCCTGCACACTGCCAGGGTTCCCGCCATGATGATAACGGACCAAACCTCTGAAACTGTAAGCCAGCCCCAATGAAATGGTTTCCTTTTCACGGTGTCTCTTCACAGCAATGAAACCCTAAGATAGACAGCATACAGAGGTCAGAGGATGGACCTGTGGAGTCAAGTACCCTTTGCCTCTGTGAGGGCCCCAGGGATCGAATCAGCTGCCAGGCTTGCGGAGTACTGCTTTCCCCCCTGAGCTGTCCTGACATTCCTTTCAGGCTGTTTTGAAACAGAGTTTCATGGTGTGGATCAGGCTGGACTTGAACTTGCTATGCTGCTGTCTCAGCTCTGAGTGCCGAGACTGCAGACTGCACCCCTGTGTTCGACCCTTCCCATTCTCTTTGGTTAAATAAGAAAGTTATGTTTAACTAAATCTATCATCAAAAAGAGTGTATGTGTGGATGTTCTTAGTTCTTACATAGGGTCTCCTGATGTAGCCCTGGCTTCTCTGGGATTTGCTATATAGACAAGCTGGCCTCGAACTCACAGAGATCCATCTGCCTCTGACTCCAGAGTGCTGGGATTAAAGGCGTGTGCCACCACGCTTGGCTGTGTCTGAGTGGTTTTGCCTGAATGAATGTTAACCCACTACTTGTTTGCTTGGTTCCCACAGAGGCCAAAAGAGGGCGCTGGAACCCCTGGACCTGGAGTTAGAGTCAGTTGTGAGCTACCACGTGGGTGCTTGACCTAAACCCCAGTCCTCTGTAAGAGCAGCAAGTGCCCTTCACCGCTGAGCCACCTCTCCAGCCCCAAATCTAGTCTTTTTACTTTTAATCATGCTAGTTCATATACTTTCATTTATGTATTTTATTAAATTTGCAGCAAGTCTTTTAAAAATAATAAAGTAAACTGGGCTGTGGTAGCGCATGCCTTTAATCTCAGCATTCAGGAGGCAGGGACAGGTGGATCTCCGAGTCCAAGACCAGCCTATTCTACAGAGCAAGTATCGAGACAGCCAAGGCTACACAAAGAAACCTTGTCTTGAAGACCAAAAATAAATAAATAAATAAATAATATTAATAATAAAGTAACTACAGTATTTGGAAGGTAGGAACAGGAAGATCAGGGGTTCAAAGTTTGCCTAAATTACAAAATGAGTTTGATGCTAGCTTGGTTTACATGAGTAGGCAAGCAAACAAAGAAACTGAAGATTTATGCTTAACAGTTATGATTTTTAATAATTTATTTACAGTTTATATGCATTGATGTTTAGCCTACATGTGTGTCTTTGTGAAAGGGTTGGATCCCCTGGTACTAGGGTTACAGATAGTTGTGAGCTGACATGTGGATGCTGGGAATTGAACTCGGGTCGTCTGGAAGAGCAGCCAGTGCTCTCAACTGCTGAGCCATTTCACCAGCCCGGAAGTTATGAACCTTCTTTGAAATGAAAGCCTAAACACTGTTGAAATAGGAGGACTCACTTTTCACACGGAAATTAATCACATGATGGAGTTACTTTTCAACAACAGGGGAAACTGAGCCAGGTGTATCTGGTCACACTTATGATATCAGCTCTTGGATGCAGGATTGGTTCAAAGTTAACCTTGGCTGTAAAGCAAGTCCCGGGCTAACCGCCATCAACATCACTTTCTTTCAATTAGTTCATAAATTATTTTTTAGACATCCAGACTTTATTAGTTCATATTAGTACAGCCTCCTGGTCCTAATTTTAGAGTTTTCTCTGAATTCATCTGTCATTGGCAATTTGTTGTCCTTAAATGTTTTAAATTTTATTCTCTCTCTCTCTCTTGGTTTTTTGAGACAGGATTTCTCAGTGTAGCCTTGGCTGTCCTGGAACGCACTCACTCTGTAGACTAGGCTGGCCTCGAACTCCCCGAGTGCTGGGATCACAGGCGTGCGCCACCTTATTATCATTTACGTGTGTGTGTATAGTGACCCCTGAATGGGGGTCACCCAGGCAGGGTACTGCGCAATTTGCCCCCTCTGGTTCCGGAAGGTGGGGGCTCGCTAACGCCTGGTCTCCGCCCCTGCGAGCCGCTGTAACTCGCCGCCACAGCGCCACCTCGAGGCGAGACCGGGTAAGGAGCGAGGAGGCGAGTGGAAGCAGCCGCTGGGTCATGCGCAGAGCGACGCGCCGGTCCAGCGCCTCCTGCGCAGTGATCCACCCGCCCACAGCCGAGGGCACCACGCAGGGGCGGGACAGCAGGGCGGCCTGGGTTCCCATTGGTCAAAGGTAAGCAGAAGGAGGCGGGGCAGCCACGTGCCCCGACTTCCTATTGGCCAGCGGCAAGGAGACGGGGCAGAAAGAGGCGGAGCCGGGCGGCGCGCGCTCCGAGGCGTGCGGCCTGACGGGCGTGTAACGGCCGTTGGGCGACCTGAGGAGCGGATTCGCCGCTCGTGCGGACGCGGTGGGCGCCGTCAGCATCCCAGGGTGAGGGGGTTCGCCGCCCGCCTCCAGGCCCGAGTAAGTGCTCCTCGGTGGCTCCCCGCCGAGGCGGCGGCCCCCGCCCTTCGCTCCGCGGCGCCGGGAAAACCCGGGAGAGCCGGGAACCGAGCTTCGTCGGGGCTGTGGGGGGGGGGGGAGCGGGAGGGCGGAGACCCTGGGCGAGCGGGGCGCCTGCGCAGACGGGCCGAGCCCTAAGGCCGTCCCGGTCCCCTCACGCCCGCCGGGGTCCCCGACGCCTCCGCTCGGCGCCTGGCTTTCCTCGTCGTCACTCGCTCCGCGGCAGTGTCCCTGCCGCCCTCGTAGAGCCCGCGGGGACACCCGGGCCCGGTTGTCACCACTCGGCGAGCGGAGGGGACCTTCCCCGGGGGGGGGGGGTCGGGAACGGAAGGGCGCTGGGGTGGTGGCACCGGGGAGTCCTTCCCGCCGAGGGGGCGGAGGGCGCCCGGGGACGGCCCAGACCCCGGCCCGGAGCTTTGCTGCCGCATCCAGCGCGGAGAAGCTTAGCGATGCCCCCAGACCCACCCCCACCCCCCCGAAACCAGCTGAGGCCAAAGGTCAGTGGTGTCGAAGTTGAGGAACCCGGCTTCAGCCCTGGGGTGATTCGAAAATTTAGCGTTTTCAGGGTCTCGTCTCACAGAGTATTGGAGCCCTGGACTTGAGTGAGTCGGGAAGGTCAGACCGTGTGTGTTTGCTGTTGTTGAAATACTGAGCCTTAAATAAGCGAGGCAGGCACTCCGCCACTGATCTGTGTCCTCTGCCCTCCCGTCCTCCCTCTTCTTTCCTTTTTTTTTTTTAGGTCTTGCTGTGTAGTCCAGGCTGGCCAGGAATTTTCTTGTCTGTATAGCCCCAGGCTGGGCTTTTGTTGTTCTTTTTAGAGACAAGGTCTCACTATGTAGACCAGGGTGGTTCTGAACTCATGGAGATCCTCCTGCCTTTGTCTCCCTTGCTGTAATTAAATATGTGCTCCACCATATCCGTCTCAGGCTGTCTTTAAATCACGTTAAGTTTGCCTTAGCCTCCAATAGTGTTGAGATTGCAGGCTTTCACATGACCAGTAGTTCTTCTTTAACTCGATATCCCCCCCAAACCTTTCTCTGTGTATAGATTTGGCTGTCCCGGAACTCACTTTGTAGACTTGCCTGATCTGAACTTACTCTGTATACCAGGCTGACCTCGAACTCGCAGAGATCCATCTGTGCCTGCCTCTGCCTCCTGATTGCTGGAATTAAAGGTGCGTCCCATCACTGTCTGGCAATACCATACATTCTAACTTGTTTCACAGAGCCAGGCACATAGTCCCTACTCAGGAAATTTAGGGCTTCTTACACTGCTGCTCTCTCTTTTTCTTCTTTAATGTACAGTGATGTTTTGCATATGTGTGTATGTGTGTTAGAAGTCCTGGGGCCAGAGTTACTGACAGTTATGAGCTGTCATGTGGGTGCTGGGAATTGAACCCGGGTCCTCTGGACCACTCTTTCCCTCCCCCCCCCCCCCCCCCGTTTCTTTGTTTGTTGGTTTTAGTTTTGGTTTTGTTGTGAGACAGTTTCTCTGTGTTGCCTTGGCTGTCCTGGACTCATCTGTAGACAGGCTGGACTCCAGCTCACAGGGATCTGCTTGCCTCTGCCTCCCTAAGTGCTGGGATCACAGGGGAGTGACATCACACCCAGCCAATCTGCCACTCTTGGTGACTTTTTTTTTGCCTGGATAATTTTTATGAGATCTTGAGTGTTTACATATATTAAATGTGTACACAAATCAAGCATTTGCTGATAAGTGATGAAGAAACTTACTTTAAAACAATAATTTGAAGCTTGGTATAGTAGCCCATACTTGCAATCTCAGCACTCAGGAAACTGAGGCAGGAGAATTGCCTGGGATTAAATGCCAGCCTGGTGTACATATTGAGTTCTAGCCAGGGTTGAATAGCAAGACTCTAACTCAAAATTAGAAAACAATTTTTTGGTATGTGTGTAATTTTTCACTTATTAAAGATAAAAATCTAACTTTCATATTAGTGAGGTGTGTGTTTTTAACATAATTAAATGTTTCTAAGAGTGGTGATCCATGCCTGTATTGTCAGCACTTGGAAGATAGAAGCTTGAGATTAATCCTTGGCTACATATCAGATGCTAGGACAGCTTACCTGAAACTGTCTCAGAAACCAGAAGAAACCTGGCTAGGTGATACTGCAGGATACAGACCATCTTCAACATACTAGGCTAACTGGCCACAGATATCACTAGGGATTGTCCGGTTTCTGCCATCTCAGTGTGTAGGAGCGCTGAGATTACAGATGAGCTATTGTCCTGGCTTTACATGTTCTAGGGATTTGAACTCAAGGACTCTTGGCATGACTGGTAAGTGCTTTACCGCTAAGCTGTCTCCCAGTGCAAACCTTTTTTCTTGTTTGGTTTGGTGTGCTGTTTTTTGTTTTTTTAAGATTTATTTAACTTTGTGTATGTGTGCACAAGCACACACTTGTGGAGTTCGTGTAGAGTTCAGATGTGAGTCTTAGACCCTTTGAAGCTGGAGGTGCGGGCAGTTGGGAGCTGCCTGACGTGGGTTCTGAGAAAGGAGCTTCCAGCAATGAGCACTCTTAACTTGACTTGTCTCTCTAATCCTGATTTGATGGGTTTTATTTGTTTGTTTTTGTCTTCTGAGTCAGGGTTAAGAGCCCTGGGTGTTCTGGACTTGATTTGTAGACCAGGCTGGCCTTGAGCTCACAGAGATACTCCTGCCTCTGCCTCCCTGAGTGCTGGGATCACAGGCATGCGCCACCGTGCCCATCTTGATGTTTTAAGACAGAGTCTCACTGTGTAGTTCAGGGTTAGCATCCATCGTGCTGGTTTACAGTGTGCACCACTGTGTTGAGCCTAAAAAATTTTCTAGTTGCTCATCTGATTCTGAGCTTATTAAGAAAAAGTCAGAGGGGTGGGGTAGGGAGAAAAAGTCAAGAATAACTTGTTTTCTGCAGTTTATTCTTTTTTAAGTGTACTTTATTTTATGTGCATTGGTGTTTTTCCTGCATGTATATCTGTGTGAGGGTGTCAGATCTTGGAGCTACAGACAGTCGTGAGCTGCCATGTGGGCACTAGGAATTGAATGGCTGAGCCTTTTCTCCAGCCCTATGGTTTATTCTAAAAAACAGTAACAAGGAAACAAGTAACATGATAACCCAATCCTCTAGTCCCAGAATTTGTGAACTAGAGGCCAGCCAGCTTCTACTGCATAGTGAGTTCATGGCCTACCTACTGGGGCTACACAGGGTTCAAGGGAAAAAAAAGAAGCCAGACATGGTTGTTCTGCATGCCTGTGATCAGCCTCTTGCCTGCCTGTCGGGTTGCAACCCCTTTGTGGGGGTCTAATGACTCTTTCACAGGGTTCAAATATCAGATTTATTTAACTTTGTGTATCCAACTTTATGGTTGGAGGTCAGCACAGCATGAGGAACTGTATTAAAGGGTGGTAGCGTTAGGAAGGTTGAGACCCACTGCTCTGGATCATGGTTCTGACAGTGTAGACGGTGTAGTTTTTGAGAGGAATGTGATTACATACATAAATTTATTGGTTTTTAATATGTCCCAAGGTTGTTCATCTAACCCCTAAATACTTTGATCATCCTGAAAAGAAAGATTATATGTAAAGCAGTTACTCTCTATTCCCTGCCTGCATAGCTCTTATTTCTGTGAAGTTAGCTATTCTAGACATTTCATAGGACTGGGACCATGCAACATGTGGCTGTTGGTGTTTATCCTCATTTATCATAATATTGTTCAGGTGCACATTGTGCAGGTACATGGAGGGGCCATTGGTCAGCCTCGGGTGTTCTTAAGAGTCATCTTGTTGAGACAGGCTTTCAGTGGGATGTGAGGCTCACTGATGGAGCTTGGGTAGCTGGCCAGTAAGAAACAGAGCTCCTTCTATCTCTACCTCTCCCGTGCTGGGATTATAGGCATGTGCCGCCATGCCTAGCTTTTTATGTAGGTGCTAGGGATGGAACACAGGTCTTCATGCTTGCACAACAAGCACTGTATTATCCTATTTTCCTCATTTCCTTTTGTGTATGTGCAGGATGTAGATTCACATGTACATGTTTGTCTGCATACATGTGCATGCGTGTGCATGTATATAAGTGGATGCATGGACACGTGCACATGGAGGTTAAAGGGTGATGATGGAGATCTTCCTTCATCACTCTCTAGCTTTTTATTATTATTATTATTATTAATTAATTTATTTATTTTTCTCTCTAGCTTTTTAAAAGATTTTTATTCTTCTCTCATATATTATATCCTGACTGCAGTTTTTCCTTCTTCCCCTTCCCAGAGTCTCTTCCTCCCCCTCTCCCCTCAGACAGGAGCAGGCCTCCCAGGGACATCAACCACACATGACATAACAAGCTACAATAAGACCAGGCACATGCCATCACATCGAGGCTGGACAAGGCAACCCATAGAAGGAATAGGGTCCCACAAACAGGCAAAAAGAGTCAGAGGGGGCCCCTGCTCCCGCTGTTAGGAATCCAACAAAAACACCAAGTACTCAGTCATAACATATATGCAGAGAACCCAGGTCAGACCCTACAGGCTCCTGATCTCTGGGAGCCTTCATGAATCCCAGTGGATTATGTGGGCTGTGTTCTTGTAGTGTCTCTGACCCCTCTGGTTCCTCCCATCTTTCTTTTCCTCCTCCAGGATCTCTACAGGATCTCTAATTCTCTGGTTTGGCCAGACTGCCTGGCCAGCAAGCCCCTGGGATCCTCATGTCAGTGCTTTCCGAGCACTGGGATTATAGGCTTGAAGCACCATTTGTAGGCTTCTGAGGATTGAACACAGATCTTCATTGTTGCAGCCAAACACTTAACCAGCTAAGCTCTCTAGCTCACTTCTTCTTGTTGCCAAATGATACCATTTTACAGTTATACCACATTTATCCATCATATCTATTTGATGGGCTTGGGGTTGCTTGTACTTTTTGATATGCAGTTATTTACTTTTGGTAAATAATGCTGTTACAGA